TTGTTTGTGTTTAATATAAAAAAGGGCCCCTGGTGGGACAGCGTAAGTTATCGAACTTACAATGCTAAAATTATGGGTTCTATTCCCTTCGGTGGCTAAAACAGATAGTCCGATGTGGCTTTACTATAAGAAAACAAACACACACAAACATTAAGAGTTTTGAAATTTAAGTTAGATGTTCTCATTTTATGATTCGATTATTTTTAAGTACCGATTTAATGCATAGTTATTGTATACCATATTTAATGTATGGTGTTTACAATTACAAAATGTGTTTTATAACCAAAAGATTTATTTTACTAGACATTAACAATTAAGTTTAGCCTAACTAGCTGACGAACGGATTTTGTATGTTCCTGAACATTAAAGTTAACATTCAGATACTATGAATATATTGACTCTTTCGTTTTACGTGATATAAAACGCTAAATATGCATCTATGACTTTCTCTCTCTCTCTCTCTCTCAAAATTTGATGTTCTGAAAAGGACCTTTAATTGTAAATCAAATTACTTTGCAAATATATTATCTTCAGATGAGGAATATCCGTCATCTTCTGGACGGATCCTCATTTGAAAAAAAACATGATGCTGTTTCTTCAGAATACCAACAGCCCAACGCAACAGTAATTGGGAAATATCAGCGAGTTCAATAATTTATTTGGTTAGATACTACAATTTCCCAAAAACAAAACATAGGATACTCATCAATGTTAGTGGACCTAAAATGATCATTGATCGTTTCTTCATTTGGAAAACTTCCAGAACATACAACAAATGTAAATTATTCTTATTTATATCATAATATAAAATAAAGGAAATCTTACACATTCAATGTGATTGGACAGACTTACAGTGTGTTAACGACCTTTACTATCTTTTCTCATTTGCAAGATGAGTAGATATGGCTAATAACTAACTAAATACACATGCAGTTATACTACGTTACCCACAAATTTTATTGTTTAATGAGGACAAATACTGACATACTCAATGCATCCTATGACGTGTTTGTTTTAAGGCCAAGCTCATCAGACTTTTATATTGAACGTGAGAGACACAGGAAATGTAAAGATAATCATCATTAATAAAGTTGTATAGAATAAAAGAAACAGACAGTTTTATAATTAACTAGGTGTACTTGAAAATATTTATATCAAAAACTAATATAAAAGAAAAACAGAGAGATTTATAGCTAACTATAACTTCTTAACACTTATTTTGCTCACATATCAAAGATTTAATTCTGATAAATGTTATATCAGTCAAATTTTGTATCCCTCAGCTAAAAGAATAAAATTGTACTATACAGTTGATCATTATAAAAATAACCTGATAATTTACAATTTAATCTTATATTATAAAGAATTGAACTTGTAGAACACTGTATGTTTTGTAGGTTAAACATTGAATTAAATACACCAATGTGGCTCTTAAGAAAACAAACTCAGGAGACGGAGAGACTAAATTGTTGTTAACTGGGAACACAATTTTTAACTTAATAAAGAAATATAATATTGATTTACAACAATTCCCCACATGTCGTGTTGTATATCACTGTGCAAATGATCCGTGATGATTTCTATGAAGGAAGAGTCAACACCATCAGGCTCTCTTACAATATAAAGGACAGAGAATGCATTAAATTTTGCGATGTTACATCACTTATCATTAAAACAATAAGCACTGTGAATAACAAATCGAAGAATTAATTATAATTAAAACTGTTATTTCTGAATTAAAGTCGTATTTTGGGTTTTGCAAAATGCAAGGCATTACCCCAAGGAAATTATCATCCAGTTTTCCTTTAAGATGTCACCAAAAATTGACTTTTTCTCTATTTATAATATAGTTAGAAGAAAGATCACCATGTTTCCACTCAGATGAAGAATGAGCATTTATTAGAACCTGGGTGACAGAAAAAGTTAAGAAAGCTCTTGAGTGGGATACCAGACAAATAATCAAAACTTACGAAGTGAATCATTATCCTTCTAAATTGTCTACCTTCTTCACAGGATATATATAGAAACATTTTAAAACTTAAACAGAAAATTTCAGAATGGTCTATACAATCACAAAAAAACCTGCTACATTAAGTTTATGCTGAAATTCGTAAGCGAAGGTTTTCTTAATTTGCGGAATACCTGACTGCATGATTTTTTATCCTCTGGTATAATTTATATTCGGACTTTCCCACATCTAAAAATAACTGTCATATAAGAGAGCTCAATAAAATAAATATATCTTAAACTGCTACATCTGATGGTTCTTTTTTTAAAAGATGTAATTGTATTTCCATTTTTGCCTCATTTATCATATAATGTTGTTGTTTTTTTTCAAAATAAAGGAGAATGAACTGTTATTATGTTATACATTAGAAAAAATAAAGACCAATATTTACACGTATACACAATTTGATGTAAGAATTAGACTAACGCTAACACTGGAAAAAATGAGACCAATATTTACACGTGTACACAATTTGATGTAAGAATTAGACTAACGCTAACTGTAAGAATTAGACTAACACTAACACTGGAAAAAATAAGACCGATATTTACACGTATACATAATTTGATGTAAGAATTAGACTAACTCTGTCTCTTCCGTAATGATTCACGTGGGTATCTCATCTCAGTCTATGTATGTCAAACACTTGAAATAACTTTACGATTCATTTGTCATTTCTATGTTCACGACGTATTTCTTTGAAACTGAATGGTGCTTTCTAAGGCTCTCAAAAACAATCGAAAGAAAATCTAACATGTTCGTGCGTGTTTGAACGGTGGTGAACCAAGTTGGTTGATTGTATATATACATAATTATTTATTTGTTCGTTCGTATATATTTTTAATACCAAATAGACTCCACTATAAAATAACAAAGTTTTATGAATTTTAAATGTGCGTAGTAAGTTCTTTATGTCAAAAAATTATACTTACCAAATGCCTCAGCGATCTAGTGTTTTGTATTTGAAAGTGAATATTCCTTAGAAATCACAGTGGCTAAAATGTTGCTGCTTCACTTAGTTTCTATAATAGTAAAGTTTACATAAGTGGTTAGATATTGTTGGAAGGTGAGTCATTTATTTATCTTATATGCTTCAAACGTAAAGAACTTAAGAGCAAGCTCAGACTTTTATGCTCAACGTGAGAGACACAGGAAGTGTAAAGATAATGATAATTAATAAAGTTGATGACAAGAACAGACAGTTTTATAATTGGATATTGTTGTAAGGTAAGTCATTTGTTTAGTTTATGTGATTCAAACGTAAAATATGAATGCTTTAAGTTGAACAAATCGTCTAAATATTTGTAAGATCATCTAAAGTGTCTGTGTGTGTAAACCATAAAGTCAAAGTGTCCTACATTACAGTTAAGGTGATATAACATTCATGTAGAATTAAATAGATTGTAAATATATGTATGTGAATCCTAATTATACCTAGCGTTTGAATGTGAACACTGAAAACAATATAATAAAACTTATATGTTGACATGTACTCTGCATTATAATGTCACCGACTCGAGAAACAATCAATGTTTGTTTTCATATACCGTTGCACAAATGAACTACGGTATATATTTTAAACATGAAAACTACCAATTCTCTCTGAATCTTACGAAAACGTTTAACTTTTACCCAAATGCTGTAATTATAAACCAAGCATACACAAATAATCTTACTGTGATTATAACAAACGTTATTCAGTTTATCGAAATTTTAATCCTTGTTTTTCTTTCCAAAATAAGTCAATGAGTTTATTCGTTAAAGTTAACTTTTCGTAAGGATCCAAACATGCTGAACTTTGCTGTAGATTCTCGGAATTGACCTCTACTGTGCCATGTGTCTCAATGACACTTGTTGAAATAATTGATTATCTTACTTTATGTTTAGTTAAAGAGAAAATATGGCTTAGAATTGTCTATGCAAATGTGAACAGTTTTATTAATTTAATTTGTAAGACATGTCAAGAAGTTATAATTACCATATGGTTCATCACTTTTAGTGATTTGAATTATCTCAATTGATTGGTAAGTGTTGATACTCTAAAATTTTGTTAGGAAATCTGAATGGAATTTTGTTCTGCTGCAAATCTGACGTTTTATAAAAGTACAAGGGATAGTATGTTTAATAAAATAATAAAATGAACACAGGGCTATATCACTATATATATATATATATATATGTAGATTGTAGGTTGATAATATAAGAATATATGCAAAACTTTAAATTCAAAGGGCACTACAATATAATTAGCGAAACATACGTTACATAAATAGAGTTTGAATAATTTAGTTATAAAACATAATAGTTATTTTCAGGACTATGTAAGATAAACTAGTACAACTGTAAAAGTGCATTAAGCAAATTAGATGAATTATTAATTTCACGACTTTGAATATCAAAGTGAAGGCTTTAAAGTTGAATAGATAATATCATGTTGAGACACGTTGATATCGGTTGATCTACAAAACCCTCTGATGGTTGACTCGTGAGTCATCTGCGCGCTCATCAATTGATATTGTTCTTTTGGCATCTTTCCGAATTCTGGGCAATTTTTGAATAATGTATGTTGAGAAGTTGTTGCCCACGTTCATGTGTTTCTGTATTTTCTTACGACTTGTAGTTGTCATCGCACATGGGCACCAGTTAAACAGCGAAGAAACACCACGGACGTGGAAAATGGCGGAACCATTACGAAGTATATATCACACTTTGAAAATCCAGAGCCATTCTCAGGTGGATTTATCATCAGTGAATGCGAAAAACATCACCACACAAGTTGAACAGACTGTTTATCTTCACTGTCCCTTTGACCCACAAGGAGGCGAAAGAGTAAGTCAATATTATAGGTTCGATCGACTGGCATGAATAACGTGTCTCTCTTTCATTCTTTATGCTGTAAAAGTGAAATTTGTATTTGAGCGGTAAATAAATAATAATAATAACACTGTTATTTTTATCGTTTCTGGAATTATACTAATATATATTATTTTCATTAAAGTTTGTTTATTTGTTGTTAAGCACAAAGCTACAAAATGTGCTACTTATGTTCTGCCCACCACGGTATTAAAGCGTGATTTTTAGCGTTATCAGCCCTTTGATTTACCGGAGACTTTCATCAAGGAGCTGCCAATTTTTTTTCCACAAAGCTACACAAAGGGTTAGCTGCGCTTTGTCCATCTCATGGAATTGAACCCCGGATTTATACATTTTAAGCCCGTAAACATACTACTGACCCAAAGAGGGGTTATCAAAGAGCAATAATATTGATAAACTTTTCTAAAGAGAAATAAACTATCTTTGGTGAGCACATATAACCAGGATGTGTCATATCAAAATTTAGATAGGAATGCGTTTTTTAGGTCCGTTCAAGTTCTTCGTTCTGTTCCAAACAAAACTCGAATAACATATCTATAATCACAAAGGAGTATTATTTTATTTTTTACTTAAGAGAAAACCAAAAGACGTTTAGAATAATATTTTTTTAATAAATTAGTTGAAGTTTGCTCTCACTAGTTAAATAAAAGTAAATGTAAACTCATGCCTAAGCAATAAAATCCACTGTCATGTCAATATTTGTTAAAAATTCCATTGCACGATTCTCTTTCAAAATGATTATTTCGTCAGTAGTTTTCAAAAAAAAAAGAAAGAAGAAAAGAACTTGTTAACACTAACACCTATAGTAAATGTAAGAAACACATGTTTAATGATTATTGAATATTAAATGTAAATAGACATATAATTATGAATAAAACATCTATATACCTATATATATATATAGACATATATATTCGACAATGTTACAAACTTTTTTGTTACTTAGAACGACGGGTATGGCCTAATAGTTATCTTACCGGGTTCAGGGTAGAAAGATCCAATTTTCTACTGGCGAGAAGTCGCTGAACATGATCCGCAATTTCAGTTGTGAGGAAATTATATTCCTTTCATTCAATCCTGCTAATCGGTTAACATTAGCTTTATAGACAACAGATGTTACTAAGTGATTGTCATCTCTCTCGGTCAGTAGTCTTAAATTATAGATAGTTAAACCTGAACCTTAGGGTCTCTAACCTGGCCATTTAACCAGTTTATCGTATCAGGTGCCATTCACGGTGAAAATACGAAATACCTGAACGGCCTGTAATAATCTGTAATTACCAAACTTCTTAAGTTCCTTATATTTGTTTTCATTACAATACCCTATGTTAATCTCTTTATCCTGTGTTTATCCTAAGTAATATTGTTTGGTAATTACGAAACTTCGCAAGGTGCTTTTTTCTATCTGTTTTTATTATAATACCCTAAGTTACTATCTTTATTCTGTATTAAAAGCGAGTATATATATTTTTGTAATTACAAATCTCGTAGTTCCTTCTATTTGCTCCTTTACCTCAGTTAAGAGTGAGTATTTTTATCTTGTAGTACATCCAGGCTTTTGTCTTACAATCGATAGTTTTCAACTCATCTTCTCAGTGTTCTACGTTATGTTGTAGGTTATTGGAACATATTGTCAAGTGGGACGTGTTTCGAACAAGATTTTAACAATTCTTTCTTTGTTGAATTAAATATGAACATCTATAACAGTGTTGTTTTTAATTTCTTACAAGTGAATTTGGTCTTAAATAGCTGTCAAAAGAAATTACGAAGACATATTTCTAATTTAACTGGGTTATATATTTTTTATCGTTTTAACAAACTTTTAGTTTTGGACGTCGCGAATACCACCATCCTGGCCGACCACACACGCATGTTATGCATTGCTTGACCGTTAAGAGTAAATACCGTTTTTATCACATCGGAGAAGAAACCAGGCCTTATTCTCGTCGTTACCCCCTCCCCCTTCATAAAATGTCACTTCTTCACTCTAGCTTCTCTGGGTCACACGTAGAAATTTACAGACATGTCATAAAGAGAAGCAACAGGAAGTGCGTTATTTAACAAAGATTACTTCAACAGACTGACGCGTAATGGCTTAGATCATCACCAAGTAATCCTGTTGTGGACTTTTATCAACAGTCTCAATACACTATAGACACGATCTATTTAGGCAGCCAATTTGATGTTAATGTTCTTGGAACTTAAAACTACGGATGAAAAGTGAACGAGTACAGATAAATTCAAGATTTTTTATTAATTATTATTATCATTATGATCAAGTTATCATCACATTAAAATGAAAAGAATTAGGTCTCGTTTTATTTTTCATTTATATATAATTGTTACTTATCTTTACCTATTGAAGCAGTTACGTAACCGCGAGAATAACAAACAAAAACCTATGGACAGTAAAAGCGTTGACTGGTATAAATTGAATTCGTCTTTCTTCTTGATAAGTTTAAGGTCTTTTGGTGGTAGTTAAAACCTGGGCGGGTCAGGTGCAATGTTCACCTCTTCCTCCCTCCTTGAAGATGGTTTTGTTTATATTTTATGTTTTTCCTGGGAAAATACTAGTATAATTACAATATGATGATCAGTCAGGTTTCCCTGGCACGTACCATGATCCCTAACAAGGCCATGTTTATGGAAGTAACTAAAGTAGTATTTAATATAATGAATACATTTTCTCTTCGTTCGGTTTATGTGAAAGTTCTGCACCTTTCAAACAATCCTGTAGTATTCATACACATTTTTCGTTAGTTTTAAATTACTCTGAGACCTTTATGTAAAAATACCCTTTCAATGCTATCTTAGTTCTTAACATCTAATTATAAGGTTCATGTCTAGCAATAGGTGGCCTTAATTTATGCTAATTTCTAATGTATATGTTAATCGGGGAGACGTGCTTAGGACTACTTTCCTCATGTATGTGGTAAAGGTCTAACTCATGCAATAGTTCGTTTTTATTCCAATTTTTCGCGAAATAACTCAGCGAGATATGTAAGACTCTGTCGGGCAGTGGTTGCAGATTTGCTTACTTGTGCAATAATTTTATAAAGTTAGTTTCGGTACTTTAAAATCTGTTGTAAGTAGGGAATTTTGTACTCTTTGTAATTTAGTTTTTTGTGTGTTGGTGCTATGTTAATACATATTGTGCATGCATATTCTATGAGAAGACGTGTACATATTGTGTATATTTTGATAATGTTTGTAGCAGACGTTACACTGTTCGTTCCTGTCAGACTCCTAGCATAGTTCGTACTTTGCCAAATCTTCGTTTTAATATCGTTTATATGTTTTACCCACGTGAGTTCTGAGTCGTAAGTCATTCCTAAAAAGTATGCTGATGTTGCAATTTGGAGGAGTGTGTCGTACATGTATATTTCGGTGGGGGGTATTTTTGTCTTTTAAGTTTTGTTAATTTTGTAAGAAGTACTACCTGAATTTTTGGAACGTTTATTCGAATATGGTATTTTTGACAAAATTCTTTCAACAATTCTATTTAGTTATGATTGAAGGTTTGTGGCTGCTATTGAGGGAGTGGGACTTTTCCAAATTGCAACATCGTCAATGAATTGTGACGAATATCTTTATTGCTCACATACATGATGAATAGAATAAGAGTAATCACTCCTTCCTGGGGAATACCCACTTCGGGAGTGAGGTACCCCCTACATTAACTCTACATTTCCTGTTTTCTAAAAAGTTTGATAGCGAGCGAATAATACCGCGCGGGAGTTTCATTTCTGACATATCGAATCTTAGACCATTATACTATACAGCTTCGAAAGCTTTATTGATAACAAGAAAGTAAGGGACAGTGCATTCCGTTTTGTTGAGACTATCTATGATTGTTTCAGTTAAACTAACTAAAGCATTTTTAGATGTTGGATATCACAAGTATTAAGAATAAAATAATCTTTGTTTTTCGTAACTTGATTTCTTATTTGAAAAATTTGATGTTAGGTGAGTGAACCGTACCATATGTTAGAAAAACAGTTTTAAAACATTATCTAAAAGCCATTTGGATTGTACAGAGAAATGACACTTTGGTAACAGCATTTATTAACTCAGTTTTAAAACGAAAATCATATATCTATCTAATAACATTGTTCAACATCAAGGGCAAGCAAACTGTCCTTGACAAGAAATCGCTAGACCGTTGAAAAAGTTTCTGTTTGCGAAATACTTCAAAGCAGTCTTCTATTTCTTGTGAGGCGTTAGTCAAGGCTTTAGAAACTTGCTCTAGGGAAAGTTAATGAAATGAAGCGTACATAGTATGTTCACCAAAAGGATTTTCCTAGGCTGTAATGAAAACAGAGCTGTTTATGAAAGTTCGCCTATTCAGAACAGAATTAGTAAAATGGATCCTTCTAGCATTTGAATGTGGTGATGTTTCTTTCTAGTTATTCACTGTAGTATTTCTCTTCATTAAGAGCAGTTTATGACTTGCACATCAATATATTCAAGAATACGTTAGTAGTTTTATTTTAAAAAATAAGTTAGTAGTTTGATTAAAAAAATCTTCATTAACTTTATAGTTTCCCTAGTAAATTATTTTATTTTAAGTTTAGACATTTATCTTTTAAGTTTGAAAATATATCTAAATAGAAACCCCAACAAAATAGCGTTTTATCAAAATTTAGATTGTTTGTTTATAATTAAGCACAAAGCTACACAATGGGCTATCTGTGCTCTGCCCACCACGGTATCGAAACCCGGATTCTAGCGTTGTAAGTCCGCAGACATACCGCTGTGCGACTGGAGGGCAAAAGTCAGATCCAAGATGAACACTTATGACTTCATATTTGATAGGTTAAAACAGCAAACGTCGTTAAAAGTACCCAACGTTTTGAAATAGTGCACCATTATTCAACATCATATGATACCCGAATATAAACCGATACAAATTTCTGGAGATTTGTTGACCACGTGTTACACAAGAACAAACTGTTCTGGATTTGTACTAGAATGAAAGTCGCAAAAGTAGTATATCCATGAGCTGTACAATTAGTTAGTTATTAACTTTCGCATTAATACGTTAGTTGCTATTCTCAGTTCTAAAGAAAGGAAGACGTACTCTGGAAGTGTTGTGTATATGTGCGCATGTTTTTGTTTGACCGTAAAAAACTGTTTTTTGGTGTCTTCAAATATGTCTGTAGTTTGTACCGTAAGATATAGAACTGATGTAAACACATATACATGGTAACTGTAAAAAAGGAACCTCACATTTAATGAAATGTGTTTATAATTGCGTAGATGGACAAAAATCTTTGGTAACATAAATAACACGATGGGAAAATAAAGAATTAAGAACTTACGTCAAAGGTTGAAGGTTCACAGTCCACTATGATGCATTGTTCACATGGCTGTGAAATGGAAATGTAGAGTTACTTTAATTTTGACCATCCTGCGATAAATTTCAAAGAATTGCCTTTTTTGTAGTATAATTCATGGAGCTATGCGATTCCAAGAATGAAATATACACAGTTTAACTGACAAAATTACCCCTCCACCAATGCTCAGCGGTGACCTTGAGGGTTTACAAGCTAAAAATGGGTTTCATACCATTTGTTGATAGACCTCTGTATAGCTTCGCACTTAAACACAAACAAACAAGGCTCACAAAATAAACATTGATAAGTGCTTAAGAAACTACAGTTTTATTAATATTTAATGGGAATACCTGGATGAAATTTTCTGGTTAAATTTTACTTTGCTTTTAACAACAAATTTATTTTATAACCAGCTTAATTAATCCAGTACTCGGCGCCCAGAATATCGAAATTTAATTCCAGCTAAATATATTTAAAGTTAGAAATTATATTTTAGTATATATGTATATATATATTTATTTATTTCTCTTTGTATACTTTGGTTTTATTCAGATATTCACACAAAGATTCTCTGATCTCGCCGTTTTTAATTTTGAATTGATAGACTGTAGAGGGAAGGTATTAAGATAGCAGCGCTAATTTCCCAACTCTTGAGCTACTGTATTGGATAGGGGGGACTCAAATGTCATCCATTATAACTCACCCTCGGTTCGCAAATACGGGAGTATGTTTTTTTTCTTTTTTGCTGCTGCAGTAGTAGCATCATCAACAGAACGTGAAACATAGTCCAGTACGCTAACTTCTAGGTCAAGCATACATTATGTTTATAAAGAGGTCTTAACGGATAAAAAGCTCTATATTGGAAGTTCATTTTTAAAACATGGTTGTTGTTTGTATTTTTGTCATTTGTTATTAATTTAATCTGGCGTTTGCTTAATTAATTTCCTGTTAAGAACATGCAAATATCAACAGAAAATCTCATCGAGCTAAATATGTGCATAGATCACGTAACCTAAATTGAAACTTGAACGACATTCATAGAACTTTACCAAATTAAAGTCATTACAGTGCAGTGTCAATAAACTTTGATTTATTTTAGTGAATCACACACACAAAATAGAAATTTGAAGTGTTCAGCATTGCAAATGTAAGATTTAAATTATGAGTATCTTATAAAATTACCAAAACAACACATAGCTGGGACTTAGAAGACGGGAGAAATTGTTTTTATAACTATCTAGTTTCACGAGGACTGATTGTTTAGACAGATTGAATTTTCTTCTATAAAATCCCGCCTTTAGTCGCTGACAATATAGGTGTCCCCGTTAATATCTCGACAAATTGAGATAAAAAAAATAGAAAGCTGTTCTGCCTTAGTATCAATAGTCATCAAATGAAGCTACGACATTAGGAAACAAATTCTCCTCGGCACATATCACTGTGTTAACAGCAATTTCTGTTATTCAAAGACTTCAATTAAGTCTTTCCCCTTCTTGTAAAACGTCAGCAGAGACTTGATAAATCGGCTCGATGACAAGTTCTAGTGGAAGAACCACAGAAACGGTGGTGGTAGGTTGCAGTTGACGAAACGATGGTGGTAGGCTGCAGTTGACGAAATTTCTGACAAATATCTTCTACCTTCAAAGAGCAAACAGAATCTGTATCAAAAGTTAAGAAACGAGTAGATTGAAATGTACTTGATGAAAGGTTGCATCTTGGAATATTGTACTTTGAAACTTCATATAATTCATTGATTTTCTCTTTTAATCTTTCATATAATGTTGCTTCCGACTGAAAGATGTTTATTATAAATTGGCAGTTATTGCTGGTTAAAGTCAATATAGCTTAATATATCAGAACATATCTCTAGTACAATTTACTTCATGATTCAATTTACGAGACAAAGTTTGTGAAGCATTTGGTTTTACTATAGATTTATAAAAGGTTTATAACTTTTCCAGTATGGAACCCTTTTTTATTATTCCATTAGCGCGCATAATTTTTTTTAATTCAAGAATAGTGTTTTATGTGTGTAAGTTTTGAATTTTAAACATTGTCCCTCATAAAATGAACGAACTGTAGCTAGAGGTTGAGTCACGCTTAAATTAGCTTATATTGCTAATGTACGAAAAGTACATTATAAAGTTTATTCATAGTTAAAGGTAGAAACACCAGTTTATTCACTTGAATATTTTTAGTATTCGTATAATACCTTTCCTCTAACCTAAAATCAATTTTGTATATTTTTCTTTCTCTTTTAAAAAGTAACAACACTAAAATCTAATGACATAGCGTCCACCTTTGAAAGATGTGTAATCTCTTAGAAACTATTGGTGTAATAATCGGTCAGTCGCTTTCAAATTATACTCACAGCACTTCACTCAAAGTGAAGCTTCAGCGAAATAATGTTGTACCTATAGATACACTAATTTGTCCTTCCCCCCCAGTGGCACAGCGGTATGTCTACAGACTTACACTGCACAAAACTGGGTTTCGATATCAGCGGTGGGCAGAGCATAACTAACCCATTGGGTAGCTTTACGTTTAATAATAATAAGATAAAGTAAACATATCATCAATGAAATTTGACATCAGTAATTTAAATATTCATGAGCTTTTGTGTAAATAGTTTTTAAACAAGTAGATGTGAGACATTTAATAATAACCAACCTTCTTTCTCGCTGTAAATATGTATCTTATAGCTTGAATTCCAAAATAAAGTTTCCTGTAGTTTAATGTGACTATTGAACTGTGTTAATTGTAGTTTTAATTGGTAGATACATTTGAAAAAGCAAAGATGAATATGATTCCTTTAGCCGGAAAAGCACGCTTCTTGCTATGATAAAAAAATCAATAGCTTATAATGTTGCGCTAGAATGAAACTTTTCTGTCATTATTAGTATTTGATGTAAAATAAAAGAATATTAGCTCCTACAGAAAGAGGATGCAACACAAAAGTATGATCGTATGGCTATAGTAAAGCAAACATCCTTATTATTATTTAATACAACAAATTAACTATACATACACTGCTGCATCATAAGAGATGCTCAAACTGGGCTCCACCAGCATTCAAACAATCATGATATCTATGACGGAGAGCCTGACATTTGTTACACAATTTTCAACTCTAATTCAGTGGAAAGGATTTATGATCTGTTGCTTTAATTCGTCAATGGTTTTGGTGTTTATTTTTAGAAATCCTCCGATATTATCTGAAATGAAGATAAAACTTTTAGAATCGATATACAGAAAATAAAGATGTTACATAACTTAAAGGATGGGTCAAATTTTTGGGCCACTCTGTATACATTGTTACGAATAGTCAATGTTAATATCTACCTAAACCTATAATTGAGGAGTTTTAATAAAAAAAAAAACTTGTTAAGAATTTTATTTGAGGACAGCAAAATAAAATTATTTTGTGGTATGTGCATCTTTCTGCAGGTCTCTTGGATCCGGCTACGCGATTTTCATGTGCTTACCGTAGGTAGGTACACATACACTTCAGACGAACGGTTTGAAGTTTATCATACCGATTTCTCGAACGACTGGGCTCTCAAAATACAGAACGTGCAACAAAAAGACGCGGGCTTGTATGAGTGTCAACTGACGTCGGACACTCCTGTGAGTCAGTATGTTTACCTTCGTGTTGTAGGTGAGTCTTAAGCTACAAGATATATAAAATACACGGGATTTAACAATAAATCAAAAGCGCAATCTCTTCAACTCGTATCATTCACTTGTGACTCAAAGTTATAAAATTAATTTTTACATTCAAGCCCCAAATTCACCCTAAAGTCTTTCATTTTCTGCAATATGTATTTAACAACTTTATGGTATAATGCTCTTTGCAAAATTTAATTAATATAAAAAATTGTGTGTCTAATAATCTGAGATTGGTAAAGTTACGTTATCTGAATATTTTATAGGTATTCGAGAAATATATTAACATTACATAAATACATAGTTCCATATATCTTCTGAACTACCTTCTCTTGTAATCTTTAGGCTTAAAGACACGATATTAATTATCCTTTTCCGTATGCATTGAAGGAAATATATATCTGAACAAACATTTAGCGAAATAAGTATTAATTATTACCATGGATATTTCATTTTAATTAATTAATCAAATTACTTGATCTAGACATTTATTTTCTTACAAATAAATATATTTAAAAATTAAATTAACTTAATACTTATATATATATATATATACCTTATTTTCTATTTCCTTTGACTGTTTGGAATCTAATCACAAGAGAAGCTTCAATCCATGCAATAATATATTTAATAGAAGTAAATTTTTAAAGTAATGTTTGACTAATTTGAAAATGGTTATAGAACAAAAGTATCTTGTGAAAAATGTTATTTATATATTTTCTGCATTAAATATCCTTAGGTGCAAACATTCAGAATAGTTTCAGCTATATTGTTGATGATTTTTTACTGTTTATATTTTATATGAGCATTGCACTAATTCAACTAATAACTGCTAGAATTCTATATGTTTTATATAGAAAATGAATAATTTCATCCAGTTTGTTTCAGTATTTCTTTACAGTGAGTGTTATAACATGTAAAAGCAGAAAGTTAATCAGTAAGATGTGGACTCTATAGGTAATGAACTGTATAAAAGGAAGTGGGTAATTTAGGAGCTTATCAAACGGACATTTTATAACTTCATATAACGTAATAATAACAATAATACTTATTATTTTGTAAAAATAATACACTTTTATATATTTAGTAATTGAAAATAATAGGTAACAACATAACTTCAAAAATGTGTGCAACATGTTGCAATTGATGACGAATGTGTTTCAATTTATCAATACGCTGGAAGTAGATTTAATAGCAAGATTATGATTAGTGTTCTAGTAATTGATCTAAGGTGTATTAAAGAAGTAAAAGAAAAAATCTATTACATGCAGTTCCAATTGCCAAAATATTGGAGGGAAACAAACGCTACTTCAAACCAGGGAGCCCTCTAAACCTAACGTGTTTCATCAGTAATAGTCCAGAGCCTCCAGTCTATGTGTTCTGGTATCACAATCAACGGATGATTAACTATGATACAATGAAGGGACAAATCACCGTTAAGAAAGCTCCTAAAAACACAGCCTTCAGCAGTCTGTATATTGACAATGCCCAGTCATCTGACTCAGGGAATTACACGTGTGCGCCTTCAAACGCAGATCCAGTCAGTATTCTTGTGCAGGCTATTGAAGGTCAGTGTTTGGATACTTTTGTTATGTTTCTTCCGAAAATTTAAATAAAATGATAGTTAAAGCTTCAGAATAATAAAGAAATACATCTATTTATAAAAATTATCAATCATATGGAATTAATATTTTCCTTATAAACTCTAGCATCGTGAGTCGATTGTACACAAATTGACACATTTTGGTTTCAGCTTTGAACAAGAAAATATTCATCAGACGTTTCTTTAAAAAAATGCAAGCAAATTTGCAAATTAAACTCTTCCCAAAGCAAAACTATGATAACTGGACCAATTTATCAACGCTATTTTCAAGTTTTGAACAACTCGACTTTCAAGATCTACATATCTACATATGCCGATGTTTCCATTTAACAACGTTATATTTTAAGATCTGTGCAAGAACTCAGCTAATAGATGTTTCCGTATATCAAACTATCTTCAAGTACAAAAGTTGTATTGTTCGAAATTTATAAGGTAAAATTATAGCTAAACACCAACTTTAGTGCTTTCTATCGTTCGTCATATGTTCTGCTGATCAAAACAGCCATTAATTTATGTATGATCGACTACCGATTTTAAGATTAAAACTATTTACGTTGTTAATTTGATGCCAATAAACAAACCAACATTCCCGAATTTGATCCTAAATTGCATGTGCTACAATACGAAATATGTTTTGGGAAGTCTGTTAACAGAAGCAGTCTCACTTGTGAAATGAATTAGTAAGATTTCTCAGTGTTGTGTATTTAATAAATTAAATTTTGTGTAAAAATCGTTTAAAGGATTCATTTCTGACAACTGTTAATTTGATCAGTTTTGTATTGGCCTGACCGCGGCCCAATAGTCAGAGTGCTTGAACTGTGGAGTTGAACCTCAAAAGCTTACAATTCGGTTTGACAGAGTAGTCCAAGAATAGGTGAAGGGTGTTGTTAACTAGTTACTTTTCTTCTGTCACCATAACCTTAGATAGTCCTGGTGCGAAATAAAAAACAACAACAAAGTATTAGACAAAACCCACTGTGAATGAAATACTGAACCCTGTAAGTCTGGTGCAAAACTATACAATTGTTAAAATTCTATTTGCACATATGCATAATGTCGTTAATCTAAACCTGAATGTAAAAAAAATAAATATAGCCCATGTATTGTAATTGACATTTTAAGCTATGAGACTTTCTTCACGGTTTTCAATCTGCAAATGTAATACGTATCAGAGCCATCACAATTTAAAATCAAGATATATTTTTTACAATTGTTTTTTAATCTTCAAACTATAATTACTAGAATCCAGAACAGCTCGATTCGTACAGCATACATACACATGTTTGAACCGTTTTAGGCAAACATAACTTAATATCTTTTAATTTATACTCTTTGAAAAAGAAAGTTAAGACATAATGTTATTGAAGTTTACAACATTAATAAGAGGAGCGATACGATAAAGGCCTCTGATATATTTGTGCTGTATTCTTAGAATGTAGAAAGAGAGGAGACATATTTAATATTTGAAAGAACACTGGCTAGGTTTCAGTTAAGGCAGTTTTATTTTTCGAACAGGGTGATTAGTTTATGGAGTGAGTTGCCATCAGCAATAGACGAGGACAGCATTTTAGTAGAGTTTAAGATGAAAATAGATGATCTGCTGAAAAAAATAAAGTGTGGACTTACATTTTTACCCTTTTTAAGAGATAAATGCACATGAACAGTTTTGACGGACATAATAGTTTCTTTTTTGTTCGTAATTTTATTTTATGTTACAAAATGAGTACGATATTAATTTGTTTATCTCACTTTATGTTTAATCCAGTTAACTAATCAGCTAAACGCGTGAAAATAATGATTTCAGTATATGAATGATAAAATTTTAAAATTGATTAATAATAGATACGATCGGGTTGTTAATTAAAGAAATAGATGACCAAATATATACTGCCAACAAACAACATTCGTATTCATTCACTAGTGATTGTTTGTTTTTAGAAATTTTACGTAAAGCCGTCACTAATTTTGAAGTGATAGACTAGAGGGAAGGCAAATAGTCGACAACACTGACCTCCACTTTTGGGCTACTCTTTTCTGACCATATAGTGGGATTTGACCGTCACTTTTATAGCAATTTGTTTGCGGAAAGGGGTCGTAAACGAAGAACCTTCGGATTTACAGTTCGAGCACGCGAACTCAAAACGTCACACGTGGTCCTATTCATGAGCGATAAAATTGGAAAAGTTATGAAATTGTTTGGTTCTAAAAAGTAAAAATGTACATAAATGTTATTAATTTGACCATATTATTTGCATGGGTCGTGTCCTGTTGCTGCAAAAACACGCTTCTTGATTTGGATCCGTAGTTACGCTATAAGATTGACTGTCAAATCGCACTATTCTATCAGTCGACGATGGGCACTGTTAACTAGATGCCTTCCTTGTAATCTCTCAATTCAAAGCTAGAGACGGCTATGCGCAGATAGTCCTTGAGTAAGTTTGACCGAAAATAATTATAAACAAAGAAACTTATTTTAAAAGCTCGTTATATGTGTGACGATTAAAATATGCCAGAGAACAACTTCTTACAGAAACAAATTCAAAATTGAGCATTTCACTACTTTTATTGAGTATCAAAATGTCATAGCAATAATGCTTTTCGGTGTTTTAGAAACTGCAGTATTACACTTCAATGTTTCAGTATCAGTGACACGTGCGACATTCATTCAAACAAATGACACGACAGAAGATTTAGTCACAAGCCAACCAATTACCTGAAGTCAAAGAAGCGAAGAAACAAGCTCTGACTGAGCAGATGGCGTAAAGCCCTTGAGATTACTTTCTTCACTGCTATATCATATTGAGAATACAGTGGTTGCTAGGAAACAAAATCCGTTTAGTACCTCTAATACGTGTGTACATTATGTCTGATGGGAATGAGTCTGTAAATAACCTGCAAGAAGCATGCACGTTATGTTTGCGAAAATCTATTTTGGTATTAAATAAATCAATGAAAACAACTGAAACAACTTGCTAAAACCATATCTTTATTCAAAAACACAAACACGTTTATTGTGCCCTTGTAGTTCATGCACTAAAGAAAAACGTTTCAGTTGCATATGTCTTTCTATCCGTTCATAAGGGCGAACGAGTCACACGACATCTTTCCCTTAAGGTATTGAAAACAGCAAAAAAGTGTTTTCATGAAACACTATAGACAGAGAACGTGCCTTAAACTGTTGTAGTTGATGGAAGTAACGATACCTTTTAAAGTATTCTTAGAGGGAAGGACACTTAGATAAGGTTACAAGTCTCAACTTTAGCGCAAATATACCTCTAGTCAACAATGTATATTCATCATTTTATAAATAATGTTTAGTTTTCTTGTTACACGTACTTCCTTGTATGAAGATTATCCGCTTTTAAGCCCATACTCTATATAAAGTTTCATATTCATATAGCAAGCACTTTGTTACCATTCATTCTCAGCAACACGATGAAGTGGCCACCTCCAACTCGTTAAAACCGGATTAAATAATACATAATAACTCTAGAAAGTATGCTTACAGAATAATTTACTTGTGAGGATTAATATAACATAATACAAATAGGGGTAATTATTCTATGTCTTATTTGGATGTGTATATATTTTATTCCACAATACCTGCATATACCAACACTGGTAGTTGTATAAGAATGGTTACTTTATGCTGTGAATTCTACAGTGTTCTACAAACCTTGTGATAAGTTATGGTATTCTATAATAACCATTAGAAATAGGTGTGTTTTTCAAAACTGCAAACAAAAATATTCTTAATATTTTGATAAAAATCACTTCGATTGCAGAAATGTTTTTTCTCCATATCCCCTTCAATTTATCTATTTCGTATTCCAAACTAAAGATGTGTAAAAATAGAAAATCAGCCCTATCGTTTGTTTCCTACAACCTGCTTCCCAGGAGGCCTTTCATTCAATATCAGAACTCGTCAGCTGAGTTGGACAACGAGAGACAAAAGTTTATCTGAAACACATTCATATATGCAGCATAAGAAGTTCAAAGTTACGCTTTAACTGCCGATAGCTAGCAAAGCAGTAAGGTCTAATTGTCCTAATATTTGTGATAAATCTAAGTGAATTTTATCACAAGTATTAGGTTTATGAGATTCCAATGTTTTGCGAACCTTCGTAGTTTAAATCGTAATTTTCGCGTATAGAGCATGCACTGTGTTATGACATAACGTGTTAAAAGCCAGTAAGGTTGCATATAATGAAACATATCTAAAATTATTAACTACTATGATAGAAAAGATGATTCTTACTTGTACTTTTATGGTGGCAGAAAATAACATTTGTTAAATTCGTATAATGTTTAGCAGATTTCGAAGTATTGTATTCAATGAGGTAAATAATGAAAACAAACAAGTTTGACAATGTAATAAGTTGATGTAAAAACTTCACAATTAGTAGTTACGAGGCCCGGCATGGCCAGGTGGTTAGGGCGCTCAACTCGTAATGTGAGGGTCGTGGGTTCGAATCCCCGTTCCACTAAACATGCTCGCCTTTTCAGCCGTGGGGGCGCTATAATGTAGCGGTCAATCCCACTATTCGTTTGTAAAAGAGTCCGCCAAGAGTTGGCGGTGGGTGGTGGTGCCTTCCCTCTAGTCTTACACTGTTAAATTAGAGACGGCTAGTGCAGATAGCCCTCGTGTAGATTAGCGCGAAATTCAAATCAAACAAACAAATAGTAGTTACGAGTAAAAGTTTTGTTTGTTTTAACTCTTACTACTTAATGAGCTAACAGCGCTGTGGGGATTGAACTTCGAAATTTAGCTTTATAAGCTTTGAAGTTTAGCGATGAATTATCAAGACGGGGAGTCGTATAAAAAAGTAAAAACTTTTAAAAATATTTTGCGAACAAAGTATCCGACATGAATGACACCATAATAGTTTACATAATATTCCTGAATCTTGGTAATAAAAATTTTAATTTACTAAGTAATCATAATGAAACTGTGATCTTTTTTGATTTTCTCACTGTTTTCGTGAAAATAAAAGTACCTTTTCTTACAGTTATTTTTCATGAAGGTAAATTATTAAAATGAGAACTTCTGTAGATATAATTGACACAAATCTACTGTTAAAGGTGTAACTATATTGATCTTGAAGTCTACCTGTGATAACTACCTCAAACCTATAGAAAAACAGTAGAGATGAGAAAATTTTAACATTAAGTCAATTTGGAGCATCTCGTTGACCTTTGTCTCTTATTAAAAGTGCTATATAACATCACTAATAGAACAAATGGGAAAATATATATATAGCTCTGAATCTTGCTCACACAGTATCTAAAATTAGAAAACTTATATTCGTACTTTTAAAAAGGCTCGTCACGTTCGTTTGGAATGTTTCGTAGTATCCAGAATATAGAAAAACAAGGAACTTGTTTGGAACATTTATCAGTTTTCTCTGCTTAAGTTTCAATTTCTATCATGTTCTTTGTTTTCGCGTTTTTGGATAAAGGGGTTGTTTTCTTTAATATCGAAATTTTATATGTTTTATTTAAACACAAGAAGCGTTTTATTGTTATTTCTTCTACAACAAATGTGTAAGGGACAGCCCGCAAAATTTCTTATTTTAGTTAATTTTCAAACAGACAGTGGATATTTGTAATCATTTGTGTATATTAAGTTTAACTCTATATAATTTGATTGATTTTACAAAATTTATACACAAGTTAATTATTTTACTTCTTCTGTTAACGGATAATATACTGAAAGCCATATTACATAATCTCATTCATCTACGGAATCAATTGATTTTTAAACTGCACATAAAAATAATTTCTTATTAACAATGCTCTGTTAAACTGCTGATAAACCTCAATTTCACGCTGATATTTTTTCATATTTTTACTTCATTGTTTGTGTCGTCAAACTTTGTGACATGATAATGCTAGGTTAAATCTTTTTTGGTTTCTTTTTTTTTTGCTTATTTGGTATATGCTGTTTCTATCTTTCAGTAAATCATACATTATTATAGTTTATTTTATTGTAGGTAAAGCTAATTTGTTTCTGCTTAACTGAAATCTTGCTTTGTATTGGTTTATTGTCGTTATTGCTTAAGAGTAGTCCTAGGACGAATGTAATTTAAAACTTACGATGGAAGAGAATTTGGCCCGGGCATGGTTTAATAGATAGTGTACCCAAACTACTAGTCACAGAATCCATGTTTGTATGATCCACTATCGCAAAAACAGGTCTTGCGCTTTGGATCTTTGGGTATGATTTAAAAATAACTGATAAATCACTATTTGAACAGACAAGAGTAACCCAAGATGCTTTTTGTCAGTGATTGCTGTTGAATAGCTGCTTTAACTCTATAGTCTATAAGTTCAAAATTAACAACGTCATTGTGAAGCTTTACGGAAAATTCTGAAACAAACAGACAGCAAATTTAAAAAGAGTGTGAGAGTTCCATTCCGGGAAGATGTAGATTATTGGATAACACAGAACACATGTATTTAAAACTTGGCTGAAAAACAGAAGACAAACAAACACGCTTTTTAGTTTTTGACGGCTCTACAAATGGCCACCAAAAGGCGTCTCAATTTTTTATTGCATTTACTTGTAATAAAAGCCTCAATTTGTTATGTAGTTGAATAAATGTATCTTTGACACCAGTTAAAATAAAAAAGGCCACATTCAACATAAAGCAACTATAATGCTTTTTGAAACGTTCTTGTTTTTCAACCGAAAATTGCAGTAACGCATGTCAATGTTTGAGCTAATTCGAGAACAGGCTAATCCCAAATTGCCCTCTTTGTAACCTATACGATCATTAAAGTAGAATAGTTAATCAAATGGTATTTTATATCCATCGAAAAAACAAAAAGATCAACAAAAGCTAGAATTCAGGTGTATAATAAACATACAAGACTCAGTAATGCCGATCTGTCTTCAAAGGCCTACTATGCCAGAAATGAAGACCATACAATAAATTAGAATAGTACTGAAGTAATAGGACGAATCACACAAGAGAAAAACAAAGATAAGAGAAGTATACTAAATTCACCTCGTTGATAACACATTCGATGTAAAGTAGTCAAGAATCAGGTGTTTCTTATCTAACCCCCTTGAGATTTAGATAAGGAAAACAATCCCCATATATGATCTTAAAGTGTAGATTATGGAGAATTAAAAACAAATGTTTCAATTTTCTTCCTTCAAGATTAAAGATCACGGTCCTGAAGAAATGAACAAATACACATTGTAGATATCAATGAAGCAGATAACGATGTGGTTTTCAGCAATAATCTAGCAACAAAACATATATTTGCAGTAAAAGACACTTATATCAATGTTGTCAATAATAGAAGAGATGATAAGCATTCCTTGTAAGCCTTATTTTGGATTTCAAACCACAATATTTTGTCCTGGTTCTTGAATAATGTAAAAAATTTTGTTAATCCTTATTAACCCTAAGAAGAACTATACCTTCTGTTTCTTCTTCTGACAGAAAAACGTAAATAAAAGTCAGTCGCTGTACATGTTTACTTCTTCTGGAGCATGGCTGTTCCATTGTCTGTCTAACTACACTAATAAATACACTGGACGTATTTACCTGAAAACGTTAACATCAGTAAAACTACAACTTTATGTATACACTCCGATACTTTTCTATTTGGAAAATTATCTGACTTTAGATTATAGAAGCATGATGATTTAACTGATTACCTTCTCATGAATAATATTAATATATTATATAACGTGGTACTTTTCCTGAACTACAAATTTGACCTTCAACTTAACCTTAATGGTTCTTTGAACAGAAAAAGGAGAGGGTAAACAGCAAATGACATATAGAGATGAGGTCCCACTATATCTTATATCGGATATGCGTCTTTAAAACATAGTAAAAGTTACATCTTACTAAATATGCAAAATAATACATGCAATGCAAAGCAATGCACGCTAACACTTGAGGGCATATATTAGAAACGCCCACTTTTCTGCAATAATTATTAAGTTCAACAGAGATTGATATTACTGGTATAATGTATTTTACAATGTGACTTTATATACTATAACCCAAAGTATTAAGAATATAATGATCTTTACTGTGATTCAGTATGGTTACCTTGACCTGAATACATAATAGATCTGTTTAAAAAGACATTAAATGTATAAAAACCCATAAAACGGTTAAACGATTATTTTAGTGTTATAACATCTAAGGAAATACATTTTAGTGTTATATATATCTAAGGAAATACATTTTAGTGTTATAACATCTAAGGAAATACATTTTAGTGTTATATATATCTAAGGAAATACATTTTAGTGTTATATATATCTAAGGAAATACATAGAATTTCAACATATTTGGTGGTCGCAACACTCGACTACAAAATATTACCTTGAATGTGAAAGTAAAATGGCAACATATAGCATTAGATTTCTGATTGGTTAAGCTGTAAAATTATGTATGCTGCTAAATTTCTTCTTAGATTTCTGATTGGTTAAGCTGTAAAATTATGTATATTGCTAAATTTCTTCACGTAAATCTCACAGAATTACAACTGACACTGAACTATAGTGGATTTCCATCTCATCGTATTAAACTAATTAAGATAAATAATACGAAATCGTCTGGAACTGTAGTTATCAATTAATAACGCTGAGGACTTTATAATTTCATTAGAATGAGTAACTGAACCAGTTAGATAGCTTTAAACACTTGCTTAGTGAGTTGGATGAAACCCATACCTTGGTCATGGTTTCATGTTTTAGTTACAATGTTACACAGTGTGCATTAATGGCGATAGTTAACTGCTTAGATCAATATATATTCGTAGAATATGACCGAATAACAGTTAATAAAATGATTGTTTTACCTCAGAATGAGTAAGTATTTGTTTAAACTAATTAACTTTTCGTTTACTGGACTATGTTCAAATATGCAGGTAAATTAAACAATCTTATCAATCTTTCCCAGGTGAGAACACGGCTGCTGTCCAAAATGACGGAGGTCCTTCTATGCCTTCAGGGGTGTCGCGTCCTTTGACGATGCCGTTTTCAGTACTTTTTTCATTGACTTATGTGGTTAATGATGGTATTTGGAGATGACAAAACCAATGGTTGAGATGATGGAATGAAGGCTGTTTGAATATTCTTCTAAGTGAGTTTTTTGTTTTATTTTATTTTGATAATTTGTAACTTATTACCTAGGATTGTGTATTCATTATAACTATTGATTAATCATTGTTCGGTTAATTAGGATATATCACTTATAATATTGAAGTAGGGTGTTTTAAAATCATTGATTTTCTTTTTTAATAAATGCCACAAAAGGGAAATATGTATAAATGTAAACTATTATTTTTCGTTCTACATACACAGCCTCCCCGTGGCACAGCGGTATGTCTTCTGACCTATAACGCTAGAATCCTGGTTTCGATACCTGTGGTGGGCAAAGCACAGACAGCCCATTGTGTTGCTTTTTGCGTAAATTCAAAACATTTACATGCATATACGTGAGTGTGTTTATACAAATAAAAACTAATACGTTCCGTACTACATATATACATACACATATGTTTGTGTGTGTTGGTGTGTTTATATAGGGTGTACCAAAATTTGTTATCCAAAAATAAAACGTCATGAAACCAGGGCTTTTCCTTAGGACTTTTTTCAACAGTACAGTTGTATTTTAACTTCATAATTTTTTAATACATGACGCCTTATTGCACCTCACATATACAGGCTTAGTAACAAATGATCCAAAAAATGAAGAATATTTTTGTAAATACATTTATTTATCAATTCTGGAATAAAATTTTATAATCTTAAATATTTTTTTATATATTTTTCTACTTGAACTTACTTATATAGGTGAATTTTCAACTGCATAAATATTTCTACAGATTTGTGTTCAACTGCACACCAGGAAAACCCCTGCATGTAACAAAAAGTAAGAATAAAACGGAACCGAACACACAATTACACCTCCATGTGAAGCCATGTTGTTGTTGATGCGACTGGTCTGTCACCTAGTGATAAGAAATTCGATGCCCTTGGTAACAACAATATAAAAGTTTGGCGTCAATGTCCTTATGCGTTTTGTTTTATTACATTTTGTTTCTGGATGAGTAATTTTAATACACAGAAAAATCCGTGTATAAATGTTTGCTTTTATGTTTTTGCAGTATAAACATATTTTATGTCCAATTAGCAGCATCATGAGACATTTTTTCATTATTTAACAAATAGGCAATAATGATTTTTTATCATTGTTGCACCAAAGAGAGAAAAACAACTTAAGGCTGATGTTCATAAAGTGGTCTCTTTATTAAGAACAAGCGCAAACATTTGCAGAATACACTATTTCATTTGCATATGCATATGTAATGTGCTAGATTATTGCTTCAGCCATGTACATCTCTAACTTTCAAAGGAGCAGGAAGCGGGTGCCTATCTTTGTTTGACTGTCCAAAGACATCTACCACCAGAGGCAATAGAATAAGAATATGACAAAGCTGAGTAGTTCTTAGAGTGTTAGTTGTTGATATTGAATGGCTAAAAGTATGTTGTGTTCAATGTTGAATTATATTTCACCATTTCTGTACAGACAGTGAAAATTGAAAGAAAACCTCGTGAGGCACTCGATCTTGTTTGTGTTGTTCTGATAGAATTGAGTACACCATTCGACTAACCATTTCAAAACCAAGTGATGGGGGTAATTTGTTGGGTGGAGAACAAAAATTCGGTCTTTTGATTATTTTTATAAGAGCGAACAACATATAAAGTATACCGAAACGTTATTGCCCATCCTATCCACCCTCACAATACTATTATTTCTCACTGATGTGGAAGGATAGTTGAGAAATGAGAGTAAAATGAATGACCACTATTTTATTGATCCAACAATTATTTTGAGCGCATGACAGTGATCCTAATAATATTTCTCTGCTAGACAAAATTTGGCTCTGAATCCGATTGAGCACTTTTGGAAAGAGCTTTAACGTTTCGTTTATCATTGCAATTCTGTATCAGTATTGGTAAACACATATCTTCTGCAGTCTATGCCTATTAATTCTAGGTTATGTATCACAGTGAAATCATGGTTTAACCCAATTTCATATTAGAGGTGATAATAAAATGACAGTCGCTGTAGATCTATTATTTTACAAACATAAGTAATTGAATTCGTTGCAGAAAATTGGATAGAATAGTATGATTTTCCCTATTTAAATGTAAATAACTTTCATTGAATAGTTAATCAAAATAACATATTCTAACTATAAGAAATGCTCCTTTGAAGACCCTTCTGGAACACTTACGTGTATACATTAGTCTAGAAAAATGTTTACGACGTCCTAGTTCTGTCCTTATTAACTTGTTTTTTTTTTCTAAACAAGACGTTCCCCCTTTAAAAGTATCACATTGCTTTCTTGCTGTTTTTTTTTCTCGCCATTTTGCGTGCATGAAGCCTGTTGCTTGACGAGTTATCTGGTAAGAGTAGAAACCCGTTTCTTCTAGTAACATTTCAAAATTTGGAAGGACGTTTATTGAACAATAATTGTTTATAATGTATTGAAATATGAAACATTTTCCAGCAGACATTTCTGTGTTTTTTTTGGTCGTTTTTCTATAGTAGAAAATTAATTATACCACTCGAGTAACCATTTCAAAACCACCAACTTTTGTGAGTGTTCTTGACTTTTTGTATCATCTTTCACTATACAGATATACATCTTTCTTCCAGAGATTCATTAAAAAATACCACAGGAGATTCTCCTACATATTATCAGCGGGGTTTTTAATGCGTGCAACATCAAAACAGTGAAACGATTGTTTAGATTCATTACAGCATCTTGCAAGTCATTCAAAAGTTTTTCTTTGGTCTAAGTTTGTTGGTTGTTTATGTCTACAACAAAGGGTACATCGGCTTCAACATTAATGTCTATGAAAAAGAATGTCATGATATTACACGAGTCTTTACACATGCGCAAAGTCATTATGATTCTCCAATTAAAAAAGAACATTTTACTTTTTTCTTGTTCTCCTACGTATTTAGGAAGTCTTTTAATCAAATCGCCATGCTCAGTATTAATATTCACAACTCCTCTTGTGATCCTTTACTGAGATTACAAAATCCTTGTCTCATTTATTTGATCCATTAAAATGAAAATTCGAGCATGTAAATGTAATCCTTCCAGAATGATTTTGTCCAGCTGATTTTCTTTCTTTTCAGATCCGTAAAGTTCAGTTCTTTTCAGCTAAGATTAAAATTTGTTGTTTACCAAGCCGTAAAAATCAAAAAAATGAAAATTGTGAACCATTCCCGTTCTCAGTGGGCTGAATTGTCTCCGCTTGAAGATTCAGTTTTCTGAACTTGTTTAAGTTTAAATAAAATTTTAGCAAAAGTTGCGCCTGCTATAAAAATTTGCTCTAGTTTCTCCTGAAACTAGCTTTAATTATATTCTTCATAATCAAGGTTTGTTTTTTAAACTAAAAATATAGTACATACATGTTACTTATGCCAGCCGCGAGTAGCATTGTAATCCAATATCTATGTGACGGACTTCACTGTGAATGTTTTTGGGTGCGTTATAAAAGTGACGGTCAAATCCCATTATTCGATTGGAGTAGCCTAAGAGTTTTGTAAATGGGAGTATATAGTAATTTGATGTAAGTTTAGTAATTACACATACTGATATACTCTAATCATAATGTTTTGCCACTTTTGTTCTTGATGATTTAGAATAATAATTAATATATCGTCTAAATAATATGATTTGTAGCTACGTATTAAATTAATAAGAACGACAAGATTATCCTGTTATTTATTCTTACTTTATCTATTTTGAAACTAATATTCTAGTTATTTTCTTGTTTCTTACTCCTGATGTTCCAAAAGAGTAACTTATGATAAGTCTCGATAGTGAATGACTTACCAAGTAAGATCTCAGTTTATTTATTGTCATACTATCACAAGGTCTTCTATTTTTCGTACAGCAAGGTTTCTGGTCATGGAAGTAATTTCCGACTCAGGAAAAAACCAATAGCTCATCAACTTGAAGACAAACTAACTTCAGTTTCCTCTTTCTCACTACACCCTCCATGTCATCCTGAAAGCCAAGAAAAAGACGCTTTTCAAAGCCCTTTCTTATTCTTTTTTCTGAGAAAATCTCACAACTGTCTGTCGTCTCAATCCTTACATTATCAGATAATTTTCTGGGTACTATGCTCTGCGCTTTTCGTTCCAGTAGCGTTACCGCGGGCGTATTATTGCTTGCTTATCTAGCGTCTCTTCAGATGAAACTGACCGAGTTACTCATATGAGCAGCACTAAATTCTTGCAAGATTCTTGGACTGCGATTAGTTCTTTGTGAGACTGAGTCACGCCAGTAGACACCTTCTATCACACACGTGGTAGGTTCTTCGTTGTGTTACAAGTGAAAACATGCTATGAGATGAGTTGCGCGATTTACTTAACTTGATCACTGCCAAGCCTGGTTGTTAACAGTATCTTTGTCTAAGTAGTTCCAGTGAAGACCTCCCATTTTTCCAAACAAAACAACTAGCTGTCCAGTCATTTTTTTTTTTGTATTGACAGTTCAATTAAGTTATATTTTTATGTTTCTTTTTCTGCTAGAATACGTTCATGTTTTCGCTTCTGTAACATAGCAAGAGTGACTTAAATGATTTGAACACTTTCTCTCAACTTTACTGCAACGCTGTTCAAAGTGGGAAAGATAGGATTTACATTCCGAATATTATCAGCACATTCAGTTGTGTTTGATCAAACAGTCCATTAGTTTTGAAATCTATTATTCTGTAAGAATTCCCATTTTGAATTAGTTTTTCTACGTTTTTCTAAGCATATGTAATATGCCAACATGTAATAACGCATACAACTTCAAGCACTGTAGTCTTAACTTTGGCACGATCACATTCTTTGTCTTCTAATGGTTAAGCCCCCCCCCCAGTGGCATAGCGGTATGTCCGCGGACTTACAACGCTGGAAACCGGATTTCGATACCCGTGGTTGGCAGAGCACAGATAGCCCATTGTGTAGCTTTGTGCTTAATTACAAACAAACAAACTAATGGTTAATTATAAGTTACTTCTTGACACTTAATTGTACATCACTCTTAGTTTTGAGTATAAATTGGACTTTAATTGTCGTATTTAACGGTTTTTCTTTCCCACGCTTTTCATTCTAAAGCCGTAAAACCATGTCCTCATTACTTCTATAAAGATACAGCAAGCTTACATGATGTACCTATACTACTTTTCATTATTTCAGTCTACTTTTATGAATGTTTGAAATTAATTACGCTCATTCTTTACTGTTCTCTTGGATAATTCCTAATTAGTACTACCCTGCGGAGATAAATCTTAATTTTTCTTTAATTAAATCAATTTGAATAGTTATTTTCTGATATTACTTCCATTCGAATTAGTTGTGTTGTCAATTTTGAAATCTCTTCACGAAGGGTCAGTTGAACTCTTAGAAAGGGTCTCTATATAGAAGTTGTGAGATGAGCAACACGAAATCACATAAATGTCTTTACGTTAATATATTTCGAAATCACCTCAAATATAAGGAGATTAATGTATTAAATAATTATCAAGTGTAATGTGCTTTACAGGCTAATACTTGGTAACGTATGGTTGGCGATTAAACTTATTCCTTCAAGTCCTTTCCAGGTAATGCTATAACATTGAATAACTGGATCGTTTGTTTCTTGTCAAACATAAAGCTACACGGTGGGTTATCTGTGCTGTGTTCACCAGGGGTATCGAATCCGGTTTTTAGTGTTATCAGTCTTAAGACTTACTGTGCAGCCACTGTCGGGCTAACTGGGCCGAGCGTGACCTGATGTAACGTTATAATGCTGAGCTGCTCATGGTAGTGTTTTTCAGCTATTGGCACGTTATAAAAGTAACTGCCAATCAGAAATTCAAAATTATGGACAGTTGTATCTTAACCCTAAGTATATCTGACCTAAAACGATTAGTCCATGTGTTAAATAAAGTGCCGTTCAGGTTGAAAATTGAAAACAAATTAGATAAAATGTATACACGGAAACACGAATTCAACATTAAATAAAATGCACGTACATAAAATGATTGGTAACGAAAACTTTCTGAAATTAATAACAAGCATTTTATGAAATTATTTTCAAAAAAGCATAAAATAGAAATTTTGTTCCCATTCAAAGTTTAGTGGTGTCTAAATTGCTATTTTTATGACCAGAACCTTGAAATGTTTTACGCAATATTTATTTGTAGCTAAACATGTAATTAATTGAACTGTTGAAAAACTGAGTATCTTTATTAGAATGTAACAGTTCTTATGAGAACCGCAAGGATAATTTTCTTTTTAGGGAAGGTGAGAAGAGAGAGATAACATCTTTTAACAAATAAAAGCAAATAGCGTAAAGTTTCAGTTAATTATCTTATTACGTTATGTACAATTCTTTCATTTCAAACGTCGAATAAAACAAAAATGTTAATAAAATATGAAATGTATCAAATCATACTGGGATGTTTTGGAATATAACTTTGAAATTAGGTTAAATATACTGAGAAATGATGCACCGATGGTTAATAACAATTAAGCAGATGGTTTGTTTGAAACGAACTAAAGTCTTGAATGTATAGCTTGGTTTGTTTTAAACTTCGCACCACCCACAGCTAACTCTTGGACTACTCTTTTACCAACGAATAGTGGGATTGATCGTTACATTATAACGCCTAAAGGAATAAAAGGGCAAGCATGTTCGGTGACATTAATCTTGAATTTAAGGAGGAAATTCTAATAGTTTCATCAGCTGTTTGATAGCCTAATATGCTACGAATTTTGCAATGAAAATTTAAGGTGTCATTTGTTAAAATAAATTTGAAGACATAAAACTCATGAGGCTCTCAGTCCAGAATCGGACAATTTAGCTTTTATTTAATATTTAATTTAAGAGCAATATAAAAAAAGATTAAAAATATTATAGAAAACTGGGAATCAAATCGCCCACCAACTGCTTGAACAATCGGCCTTAGTTTTATACAAACCTTGCGAGAGCAAAACAAACAAAGCATGTTTGGATTATTGCTGACTGAAAATTTTCCAAAATCAACAAAAAAAGTGTTCTTGAAATTGAAGATATGGGGTACAAATAATAGCCTAATAGTAGTATCAACAACATTTCAATGTCCATAAACGAGCAGAAATGACTTTGTAGTGTGTGTGGTAATTGTGAAAAAATGCTAAAAATGCTGAGAATCTACATATAAGTTTTTACTTCACATTAATTTATAGAATCGAAGCTGTGTTTGTATAATAAAGTATTGTGATTATATATACATATATATATAAACATGTATATATATATATGTATATACACATTTATATGCCTGTTGATTTAATGTAACCAATATCATACTGAAATAGTTTACAGCCTCGACAGTTTGCCACAGCATAGACTCGTGAGCGTGCTGTCTGGTGTTCCTCCTGTTAGATTTACAGTTTTGAATGGGTGTATACTCAGCAGTCTCTCCTCCGTTAGGAAATTATTGCTACACTAGAGAAGTATGCAGTAGGACTTATGTATTTATAATTTATATTAATTACAGTACTCTTAATAATATTCCAGTAAAGAACTACATCTAGTGATTTCAAATAGTTTAGAGTGTGTTTCAGCCTGCAGTTTACATAGTTAGTATTCAAGTTTGGATCGATTTACATTTAGCGTTGAGTGTTATAGCAATTGTTCCAGATTTAGATATAATAAGCGTTTTGCGTTGGTCTTTTATTAACGTCCCCAGGTAGGTCATCGATAAGTTTACAGACTTTCAACGCTAAACTCCAAGGTTCGGTTTCTCGCAGTGGACAGAAAACAGCCAAAAATAACAACAACGCTATGTTAACATAGTTATTTAGTCGGATGCAGTCCACTTTTATATCTGAATAAACTATATTTCTCTCTGGATTATTCAAAGCATAATAATGTATTCAACAATGCAACCTTGCAATAAACGAATTATGTTTGTTAAATTAAGTCGTGCTTGGGATCTGGCACGACTTGTGTCTTTTTTGTAAAGTTTTATTTGTCTGTTGTTAAGCATAAAGCTACACAATGGACTAGCTGCACTATGTCTACTGTAGGAATCAAAACCCGGATTTTAGCATTCTAAATCGGTAAATTTACCACTGACCTACTGGAGAACTTCGTTTGGTTTAGCTTTTATTTTTATAACTCTCTTATGGTCTTTACTTGTTAAAGTAGTTGTTAATTTTCTGGTTAGATGTAGCACTAAAGGTTTCGTGACAAGTGGTTCTATAAGGTGTTACATGAAATACCAATATCTCGAAACTTCAATTGCCAGTTTGTCATCGTGATGTGGATTTGTTCTACAAAATATGACCTATGAGGTTTCATATTGGTGCTTTGTTTCTTATAAATAATGCACGATGAATCAACTGTTATAAAGTGCTTGTTCATTAATAGCCAAATTCATCGAGATTTATGTTTGTTGAATTTCGCGCAAAGCTAATCGAGGGTTATCTGCGCTAGCCGTCCATGATTTTAACGTGATATACTAGAGAAAAGGAAACTAATCAAGACTACCCACCGCTACTTTTTGGACTACTCTTTGCGAACGAATAATTGAATTAACCGTCACCTTCTAATATCCCTACGACTGAAAGTACGAGAATGTTTGGTGAGAGGGTTTTTACTGTTAATCGTGCATCCTAACCATCAGGTTATGCCAGGCAGACTTAAAGCATTACCACATTCATTACTGTATCAGACTTACGGCAGATCAGCTCTGCAAGTGGTAATCCTTGACCGTCAGTATCTCTTACCTCAACTCAGAGAAATCTCGAATAGAAGAATCAGATATGGGAGTTATACTTTATTAATTACGTAAAGGACTTATAAGTTAATCTAAACATCACAAAACATATAGTTGACTTGCAAGACACACTTCGTACAATTCAATTCATCTAAAGTTTATCAGAAATTACTGAGCTGCTTACAATGAAAAAACACCAGACTTTAAAAATCATGTAAAATATAAAATCAAATTTTAATTTATCAATCAGAATATTATTAACATCGTGCTGTTCCACGAAATTACTCTTTTACGCCTTTACTCATATAATGTATATACGCAATGGATACTGTCACCCTTCCATCATTCTAAGTTCTAAGCAACAAAAA